ACAGGAAGCTTCTCAGCCTTGGAATCTGCAAACCTTCAGAAGAAATATGTGACAAAAATTTCAGAGTCGATAGTAGGTAGACTGATCAGAGAGAGAGGGTCTCCCTGGGATCCACAAGATGTCATATTGACTGGAGACTGAATCACAGGGACTTTACCATTTAAGATAAACTAAGAAAGCAAAACAAAACAACTCCTGCCCTACCTTTAGTAGTGTTTATGAATTTAATTTGTAATGCTAGTTCTCAAACCTTGAATTCAATGCATTTTCTAAACAAATTATACAGCCAAAATCAGATGAAATCATGCCGAAGCCTCCAAGCACTAATTCTCTGCAAAATAAGTGCCTCTGGAGAGCAATCTACAATAAATTTAATTCCAGAACTAAATTTAGAGGAAAGTTGCCCATATTATTGATTTGGAAATCATTAGCCATTAAATCATTCATTTTGCTAAATAAATAATGATCAATATTCTTTAGCTAGTCTCCATAAAAGTCTTTTCATCAACTTTATTAAAAAATTCTAAAAAGTCAGATCATGTTGGGAAGTTTAATTTGCATTATGACCTACTTCTGAACCAAAGTCAGGAATCACATTTTTTTACCATAATTTTTAATTTGGGTCATTGACCTATATCAGTCTTCAATTCTGCTGAATTTCTGACAAATATTTGACATTATAAAAAAGCCAAAGATATCTGTTCCAGATATATTGGCGTTATCAAAAGGTACAAAATGTGGTAGTATATATGGTTATAGAGGGTATACTCTAAGAAAGCATCCACTTTTCAGACCTTTAACAATGTAGTTCTATTATTTTGCCTTTTTGTAAAGCATATCTCTTGTTTGAGAGGCATTCAAATTCACATACATGTACAGGCATACCTCAGAGAAATTGCAGGTTCTGCTAAAAATCACTGTAATAAAGCAAATATTGCAGTGAATCAACTCACACCAATTTTTTTGTTTCCCAGTACACATAAAAGTTATGTTTACACTATACCATAGTCTATTAAGTATGCAATAGCATTATATTAATTAAAAAACATTTTATTGCTAAAAAATTCTAAGGATTATCTGAGCCTTAAGCAAGTTGTAATCTTTTTGCTGGTGGAGGGTCTTGCCTCAATGTTGACGGCTGCTGACTGATCAGGGTGGGTAGTTGCTTAAGTTTTTGGTGACTATGGCAATTTCTTAAAATAAGACAACAATGAAGCTTACCGTATCAATTGACTCTTCCTTTCACAAAAGATTTCTCTGTAGCATGCGATACTGTTTGATGACATTTTACTCACAGAACTTCTTTCAAAATTGGAGTCAATCCTCTCAAACACTGCCACTACTATCTCCACTAAGTTTATGTAACATTCTAAATCCTCTGTTGTCATTTCAACAATGCCCATAGCATTTTCACCAGGAGTAGATTCCATTATATTTTAAGAACTCACTCTCTTTGACCCTCCATACAAAGTGACCCCTGATGTGTTAAGGTTTTATCATGGGATTGCAGCGGTTCAGTCACATCTTCAGGCTCCACTTCAAATTCTAGTTCTCTTGCTATTTCAAACACACCTGTAGTTACTTTCTCCACTGATGTCTTGAACCCCTCAAACTCATCCATAAGGACTGAAATCAACTTCTTCCAAACTCCTGTTAATGTTGACATTTTAACCTCCTACCATGAATCAGAAATGTTCTTGCAAGCTAAAAATCAAAATCCTAAGCCCTCTGCTAACTGAACGGACGCCTCTCAGCCAAGGGGACCCCAGAAACATCTTAAAGCTGAGGTTTCCAGCCATGACGGGATGGGAGAGATAAAGCACAATTGCAAATGCATGTGATTTCCGTTTTTCATAAATATTCATGAATCCTCCTATAGCTTGTTAAATATGTATATTTGACCACCCCACTCATAAAATCTTATTCCTTTGTCTGTCCTTTGAAGCACATGTGTCGACTTCTAGCCTGGGCTCTGCTTTTCAGCCGGTTGGAATGGCTGCCCCACAGGCTGCTACCCTTTATGAGAAATAAAGCTCTCCTTTTTCCAAAGTATAGAATTATTATTTTTTTTTTTAGTTAACATTCTCAATGCCATCTAGAATGGTGAATCCTGTACAGAAGGTTTTCGATTTACTTTGCCAAGATCCATCAGAGCAATCACTACCCAGGGCAGCTATAGCCTTATGGAATGTATTTCTTAACTAAGACTTGAAAGTCAAAATTACTCCTTGATTCATGAGCTACAGAATGGATGCTATGTTAGCAGGCATGAAAACAACAATAACTTCCTTGTACATTTCCATTTGAGCTTGTAGAGGACCAGGTACAGTGTCAATGAGCAGTGATATTTTGAAAGTAATCTTTTTCTGAGCAGTAAGTCTCAACAGTGGGCTTAAAATATTCAGTAAACCATGCTATAAACAGATGTGCTGTCATCCAGACTTAGTTGTACCACTTACAGATCACAAGCAGAGCAGATTTAGCATAATTCTTAAGGGTTCTAGGATTTTCAGAATGGTAAATGAGCATTGGCTTCAACTTAAAATCTCCAGATGCATTAGCCCCTGACAAGACAGTTAGCATGTCCTTTGAAGCCAGGCATTGACTTTTCCCTCACTATGAAAGCCCTAGATGGCATTTTCTTCTAATATAGGGCTGTTTTGTCTACATCGAAAATCTATTTCGTGTAGTCACCTTCATCAGTGATCTTAGCTAGGTCCTCTGCATAACGTGCTGCAGCTTCTACATCACACTTGCTGCTTCACCCTGCACTTTTATGTTATGGAGATGGCTTCTTTCCTTAAACCTCACGGACCAACCTCTGCTGGCTTTCAGCTTTTCTTCTGCAACTTCCTCACATCTTTCAGCCTTAATAGACTTGAAGAGAGTTAGGTCCTTGCTCTGAATTAGGCTTTGGCTTAAGGGAATGTTGTGACTGGTTTGATTTTCTATACAGCCCACTAAAACTTTCTCCGTATCAGCAATAAGGCTGTTCCATTTTCTTATCATCTGTGTGTTCACTGGAGTAGCACTTATAATTTCCTTCAAGAACTTTTCATGTACATTCATAACTTGGCTAACTATTTGGTGCAAGAAGTCAAGCTTTCGGCTTATCTCAGCCTTTGAGATGCCTTCCTCACTAAGCTTAATTGTTTCTAACTTTTGATGTAAAGTAAGAGATGTGTACGTCTTCCTGTCATCTTGGAGACCATTATAGGGTTATTAATTAGTCTAATCTCAATACTCTTGTGTCTCAGGGAATAGGAAGATCCAAGGAGGCAGGAAGAGAGAGAGAATGGCTGGTTGGTGGAGCAGTCAGACCACACACAACATTTATCAATTAAGTTCACTGTCTTATGTCGGCATGGTTCATGTCATCCCAAAACAATCACAATAGTAACATCAAAGATCACTGATCGCAGATCACCATAATAGATATAATAATAATAAAACAAGTTTGAGATATTCTGAGAACTACAAAATGTAACATAGAGACATGAAATGAGCACATGCCAATAGACTTGCTTGATGTAGGGGTGCCACAAATCTTCAATTTTTATTTAAAACACACACACACACACACACACACACAGTATCTGTGAAGCACAACAAAATGAATTATGCCTGTTTTTCAAACTAAATAATAAAAATATTGCATAAGTGTATAAGCCAATATATGTAAACATACTGGTTATTACTTCAGTCCATTAATGTGCCAATCAACAGGTGATACGCCCACATCCAACCCAGTATTTTCTTAAGGTCTCACATTCTATCTGTACAAACTACCCTGATAACCAATCATATTTAATCCATGGGCAACTGATTTAAGACAATAACAAGAAAAGACAAGCAAAAAGTAATAAAGAATAATTAAACAAGGGAAGAGTAATATGACTACACTCTCCATATATGTTAAATATCAACTGCCATGAATGTAATAATAGTTTTTTGGCGAAAAAAGGAAACATATCCATAACTGTGAAATATACCTGATTAGAGAATGATAAGAGGTAGAAAAACATGCATCTCAGGTGAAAGAAAAATGATATACTTAGTAAAAACCTTCAGTACTCAAGGGACCAGCATAGTGGATAGTGAAGCGGTATTTGCCTCTCCTCTTCCCACTGCATATAAACAGTGATTGAAAGAAAACAATTATCTAAAAATACATTATACTATCAGGTTTGGGGGGAAGTAGCAGTTGTATTCCCTGTAAACATTTTCCCAAATTTTACTCCACGCAGCAATGTGCTCAGTTAGAAGATGGACTGTCCAGGCTCACTGGCAGTTAAATGTGGCCAGTAACACGTAAGAACAAATTGTGGATCGGACGTCCAAGAAAACCGCTTTTTTTCATCCCTTTCCTCCTCGCTGATGCACAGAATATAGACAAGACAGCTGGAGTTCCAGCAGCTTTGAATCATGAGGTATTCGGGAAGGACGGCAGAGCAGAGAGAGAGGGAACTGAAAAAATATAGTCAAGGAAACTACCACAGGGCCTTGAAAGGAAGTAAGGAGGCTAAAGAGAAAAAAAAGCACAAATGTAAGCTGTCTTTGGTAAACTTGCACACGTTTCTTTCTTTTCAAAAAATATTACACGAGAAGGTATGCCACAAACTAGAAAATTCTGAATATCAAATATACATTGACCTTCTATTAAGCATAAAAACAGGAAAGAAATATTTATTGAGCACTTTATACCATTCACTATGAGAATCACTTTATATAATTAGCAACTTAAACACAGGAAATTACATTTTATTTAACCTTTTAAATCCTCAATATAAATAAATGTCTAGAAAAAAGTAGGTTCTCAATAAATGCTTTAAAAAAATGAACACATGAATGGATAAATGCATGAATCATGGGGTCAAGTTAAGCAATTCAAAATTACTAAAAAATTTATTTTTCCTAACTCTCGTTCATTCACACTTCTTAGTTATTGTTCTCCTAATATGAGTTACACACTATCAAGAAACTAGAACCTTCTTTCTTACCTTCTGTTGTTGGAAATACTTCTTCGCCTTCAGTTTTAGCCTCTGCCAGTTTCCCAGTTCTCAGCAGGACTTCCGCAAAGCTTTCTACTGGGACGTGCTGATAAGTGTCATACGTCACTTCAGACTAGACAAAAGAAACAGTTTTACCATTTCGTAGGGTGTGCTTTTTTCTTTCAACATAACCTCAGAAAACACAATTAAAGGATTTTATGTCTCCTGGTCATTTGAATAACTTATCACTTATTTAAGCACATTATTTTATGTAACATTTTAAATAGACTTCAATCTCATAATCTATCATAACATATATGAAAGAAATCACATAAAACCAATGAATAACACGAGTAAGGACCAAGATAAAGAAGTACATTTTCAGGAAAATTTTAGTTTTTGCTTATACTATCTACAATAGCACGAGAGTTAATTTTTTTTTTAATTTTGTTTTGATGTAAAGCATGACAATTAAATCTATCTTCTTAGGCACATTGTCCTTACCTCAGCGACAAATGGATTAGAGATGACAGATTCGTAAAAGGGATGACACCCTTGCCTTTCTAGATCTTCATTGGCTATAGTTCCAATTTTATAAGCACCACCAAATTCTTGCCCCTGAATAAAACAAGGTAAAGAACAATGGATAAAAAGAAAGCAAGCAAGGAGGGAGAGAAAGAGAGAGGGAGGGAGGAAGAAAAGGCTGATTGCAGAAGAAATTGATCAGTGTGCTTCCTGTGACCTAAAGCGAGAGTGTCAGAGGGACGCAGATACCCAGCAGAGAATGTAATAACGACTACAGTCTAAGAGCAGCACTTCAACCCACCATGCACTGCCTTTTGATGTCCTGGTCACTTTGACATCGGTGAATCAGAAACACTGAAGCAGTAAGCGTTGTAAATATGTTAAGTTTTCTATACTACAGTCGGAATAACCACCCTAAAACATCATCGCATCCGTGTTGCTGCCCTGCTTTAAAATCTAAACTATGTAGAATAACATTTTAGGTTATTAAATGTTAATTAACATTAAAGGCTAAATCTTCACCCAAACCAAACTGACCTACGTTATGCACCCTTTCGACATCTACGCCTTTCCCCTCACTGGGAAGGTCCTGTCCCTGCTGACTGCCTGATTAGATCCCATCTTTCCTTCCAGGCCCAGCTCAGACCTCACCTGCTGACACCTTGCCAGATCCAAGCAAGAGGATGTGACTATGCCCCCTTCACGATCTTCATCTCCTTCACAACTATCACTCCCATGCAGGCCTTTAAGACTTGTTACCAGCATTCCTGATTAGCAAGTACTTTAGTATCTCTAGTATACAGTTAATTATCTTTATGTTTTGTTCTCCCCAAATAGATTGTAAAGTTCCTTACTGGAAGAACCAAGTAAAAGACATTCACACATCCCTCCAAAGTTTATTGTGCACCTCCTTTACACCAAGCATACTCTAGGGAAACAATACAGCCACTGCCACAAATGATGATAAAAGTTGCAGGTTACATTTAATAAAAATTACATATTAGGCAAGTGTTAAATACTTTAAACATAAAGCCTCAAAAAATTCAACAGGTGAGGCAGAAAAATAACCATAATCATAATCCAGTGTGATGCCTGAAGTGGTAAGAGATACACAGACTTACCCCAAAGTCAAGTACAAAGCCTCTCAGTAAATGGCATCTTCATTTACCCAACTGTTTGGACCATCATCCTTAGGTCTCCTCTTTCCCACACAGCCCATGTCCAGACCATCAGAAGGTCCACAAAATGCACCCCCAAAATGACCACTTCCCACTTCCTTTATGGCTACCCTCGGTCCAAATCACCACCACCTCTCACCTGAGAACCGGACTAGAGATCTCACTATTTCTTTGCTGATCCCTGTAGGCAGCTCTCCTCACAGCAGTTAAATGATCTTAGTAAAAGTAAAGTTGGATCACAGAACTGCATTGCTTAAATTCTCCAAAAGCTTTCCATCTTACTCAGAACAAAATCTACAGTCGTAATTACCACCTGTTTAAGGCTTTAAATGACGGGCTCCCCACCACCACTCTGATCTCCTCTCCTACCATTCTCTCCGCTGTTCGCTCTGCTCAAACCACATCGGCTCCCTTTATGCTCTATGCAGATGTCAAGCGTGTTCCCCCACCAGGGACTTTGCACTTGTTCTATTTCACGCAATTGTATTTCTGTTCAAACTGATTCCTTTTCTGAGAAATCTAACTTCTCTATCTAAATCAGAACTCTACTTCCCCAGTGCCATCACGATTCATTTATCTTGCTTAAGTTATCTTCATAATGCTCATTACCACCTGCCATTACATTATTATACAAATATTTTGTTTTCTGTGTCTCCCCCACTGAAATATAAGTTCCACGGGGGAAGGGAATTAGACTTAAGTGTATCCCCACTCGATTTCTAGTGATTAGCACAGGATCTGACATACAAAAAATGCCTAAAAACCAGGCATGGCAGCTGACAACTGTAATCCTAACACTTTGTGAGGCCAAAGCAGGAGAATCACTTGAGGCTGGGAGTTTGCGACCAGCCTGGGCAACACAGCAAGACCTTGTCTCTGCAAAAAAAATTTTAAAAATTAGCCAGGTGTGGTGGTGTGCCGCTGTAGTCCTAACTACTGGGGAGGCTGAGGTGGGAGGATCGCCTGAGCCCAGGAGTTTGAGAGTACAGTGAGCTATGATTG